TATTGCAAGAGTGAAAACAGTCTACAGACGGTTTTGAGTTTTGTGGTAGTTGTGGAGCAGCTTAAAACAAAATGGAATCAATGCCAAAAGTTTGCAGCAGACATTTAAACTGGTCACAGTAGAAAAGGCTCAGACGTAAACGATGAAAAATCGTATTCACGGTCATGGTGCTGTGCATTCTGCTTCATCGTCACATAATCATGACAACAGAAACAATGTTAATGTTATTAGCAACTAGGACAAGTGTATATGTCTACTGTAAAAAACAAAACACTGACATGAAGAGAAAACGTGACACTGACCTGTCCACACTTGGAATTCCTCAGTGAGGTCCCGTTGATGTCATCAATGATGTCACCGGGACAGACGATTTTGTCCACGTGAGCCTGACTCCCCGGCACCAAGTCGAGGACAAAGACGCGCCTGCTGAGATACCTGAGACGTGGACAGAGGGACATGATGCAACAGCCTGGACAGATGTTTATTAGAGTGGACATACACAGGGGAAAATATGTTTTTGTAGGTCGGAAGATACAAACCTCAACACCAGCCCGACTTCCCGACAGGGCACTACTTCGTATATTTCACACACCTAAACAAACATACAGTACACAATGATCAGGCAGTCCCCCACATTCTGCTGAGGACAAAGTATGTTGTCTCACTCCAGTGAATTTCCCATGGATATTAAGGTTACCATGGCCACTGACTCCAGAATGATATCAATGTAATGTAGCACTGACTTCTGGATTTATTACGAAACAATTGTGTGATCTGGCGCGATTTCAATCATACATGTATCAAAACATCCTCCCGGATAATTCCTGCTATTATTTTTTGTTTTTCAACCACTGGAACATTTCTGTCAGTCAAATGAATGGAGAAGGTCTTAGGTTTTTATTTTGATATCTTATATTATTTGGAATAATTGCAGTTTAGGTTTTATGCTTTTTCTTATGTTTTATAATGGGCGTGTATTTGAGGCTCTTGGGGCATGAATACACAAACGCGGAGCGAATATTGTTGGGCTACGTTAATTAGCTAATGTTTTGTTCGACTGCATTTACACAGATCGGAAGGGAGGAGAAGTCACTGTACTTTTATCGACTGTGCTTTTTAACAAAGTTTTGTATTTCTTCTCTTCTATCTCCAACATCTTTCACTTCACACACAATAAAAAAACTTTGTTTTCACAGTGACACATTTAACAACGGATATTCTCCATTTGAAATGATACAGCAAAGCATTTTCAGCCACTCACTATTCACACTGTATTTTTAGCAGGGAATGCACTTTTTGGGTCGTCATTGATTCTTACCGGTAGGAGACAGGTCTCATCCAGAAAACTGCAATTCTGCATGAAGAAGACCGGAGGTGATTATTAACGAAGAGTTGTTAGATTTCAAGGTGATTTGAAAGAATAGTTACTTTCACAAAATCCCCTGTTGGCATTAAAGTAGTGAAAGTTCTAATTGGGGGGGGGGTCTGGTTTCTCTGACCTCCATGTCCAGTTGAAAGTTCATGTGAGAGAGGACGAGCAGCAGGGACATGAATGGCTCTGTAAGAAGGAGAATGGGGCCTCTTAAAGGCTGATGCCAAATAGCAGTGATGACAAGAACTTCCTCAGCTTTGCTTGAGCCATAGTTTTAAGCAAAAACAAATCAGAAAAAAGCCTCACCCACAAATTCCTCATTCCTGAGAATTGATAAAGCCGGGCTGTACCACTGGAGGAGAGAGAGAAACAGAGACAGATGATTTTCCTGGACATGTGGACACCTTACCAAGTCCGCCCCAGAAAAACACCATCAATCTCTAAATATAATGCAGCATCTGGCCCACACGTCTGACCTCTAGGACTCTGGGCGTGTGCAGCAGGTGTGTGATGAACTGTGGCAGGGCCTTGCGGCTGAGGGCCAGGCGGAGCAGGTAGCGGCCCCGGCCTTGAGCAGAGAGGAGCTTCCTGCAAACTCTGGTCTGTTCCACTGCCAAGGACAGAGCAGACAGCCTGCACACACACACACACACACACACAGCGGAGACATCAGGTATTAACACAGTTTGATGTAGTGCTATTCTCATGAGAGCAATGTCTATTATAGCGCTTAAAGCCTAACCCATATATTGATCGACAAATAAAATATTAAATATCAGTCTGAATTGCATGTATTTGTCATAAGGGTTTCATAACGACATCTGAGGAATCACTGGCAATTCTTTGTTATGCTATATCAGAATTGTTTTACTAATATTGGTATTGTACAGCACCACTTAAAGGGAACATATATCAAAGATTTTAAGAATAAAGATGTAAAGTTATGAGAATAGTCGTAATATTGCAAGTTAAAGTCGTTATTTAACAAGAAAAAAGTAAATATAAAAATAAAAAAACATTTTTTTAAATAATATAAAAAATAATATTTCTCCTCCACAAAAGAGACAGTTAACTCCAAGTCAGTGGTTCTTTATTTCTTTATTCTCTTATATTTAAGATTTTTGTCTTTATTCTTGTTAAGATTTTTCTTCTTGATTCTCATAAATTTACAACTTTTTTCTCATAATGTTACAACTTTAATCTTGTAAATGTATTATTATTTTTCTCATAAAATTATGACTTTTATTCTCTTAATATTAAAACATTTTTCTCAATACAATTGAACTAAATGGCAACCACTTCTTTAAGCTTCAAGAAAACATAAACTGCCTCCATGCTGCTCCTGTGGTGTCACTAAGTGTCCACTGTTATCGTCCTCCTAGTTAAATAACTTCTAGCAGTAACTAGAAGGAGGCTATCAGAGGACATTTAGGCTAAACACACTGTAAATGATGCAGGTTCAAGTGGAATGTGAGACTTACAAACTTGGATGACATATGGAGGCTTGTTATGTTTTTCTCTGTTGTTTTTTCACCATTCACTTCAATTGTATTGGATTTGGCTGCAAGACAGATTAACCCCTGAAACTCCAGAAGTGTTTTGGGGACTCGAACACTTCACCCACCCCTCCAATGACAAAGTGGGGAGTAGATCAATTTAAATGATTGGGTGAACTATCCATTTAAGTGGTCCTAATACTCAGGTGTCACCCGCCCAAGGTTCCAGCAGAGGAATCACAATGCTGTTGAATATTTATTCTGAATCAGTCGACGTTAGCAGGATGGTGATGTTACCTGCCACAGGCGTCTTGGTGGGGAAGCTGTTCGAAACACTGCCAGTAGTCTCTGTGGACCAGACTGAGAACTGGCTCTGGTGCAAATAAAACAATTCAAACACACCCTGAACACATTTCATCACAATCCCTTGATGCATAAACACAATATATATTTTCTATATACATATATACACTGGTAGCTATGTTGCACTTCAACATGTGCTGGTGTAATGGTGTGGTAGGATTCCTACTGACGTTGGAGCCCCTTCCTCAGGACCAGTTCAAGGAGCTCGCAGCAGGAGGCGAGGTGAGGGCTGGTGTCCGTCACCGTGTCTCCGTGTGACTGCAGGTTCAGGACACACACTGAGTGGAACAAACGTTTTTCAGACGCAATCAGCCCCATTTCACACATCCACACTGAGCCGCACACGACAGATGGTCCCTGGAGGGGTTTTCTAAGATAATGTTTCCCATGAATAACAAACAGAGCATCGAGGCCGAGCTCGTTACGATGCAGCAATGTGAAGAGCTGACGTGGTTACCTTTCAGAGAGGACAGCAGAGGGTCTCTGGGGGCCATGTCGTCTGAGCAGCTGTGATCTCATCTGATGCTGGGGACGCTCGTGACACCTCAGCGCGGCCGCACGCGCTGTCATCACACTTCCGTGTCGCCTACCTCACACACGCACACGCCCGCACGCACGCACGCCGAGACACACCTTCTCATTCCACTGTATCCACACGCACACGCAAACACACGTAATTGGACCCACAGGGTAGAGAGGCTAAGAAAGACGTATGGTGTTTATTGACTGTAGCGACCTCTGCTGTCCACCTTCTGACATTTCATTGTCCATAAGAATTAAAAATATATAGGCTTATTGGTAAATATATATTAAACATAGGAACAATTTCATTCGTTGACAGAGATGTCATCTAAAAATATTATATTTATATATGTATTCTGCATACTGACATATATGTATTTGTATGAATGTGCAATATACAAATTGCAAATACATGCACATTCCATATTTGCATATATATGATATATATGTCATTTATATGTGTTATATGGTCTTGGTATATCAATGTCATATGAAAATAATTTAGATATTTCATATAAATTCTATGAATTGTATTTTTTAGATAGATATCACTAAATTCTACAGACTGTATCTTTAAGCCCTATGAGACAAACTGTGATTCGTGAATATGGTCTATACAAATAATTTTGACTGGTTAATAATTGATAATAATAACAATAATAATTGTTATAGGTTGGTCAAATTAACCATTAATATTCAAAGATAACAGAATTCTCAGTGTCAATCTCGTAGCTTCCAGGCAAGCAATAGCGACCTCTGGCGGATCCCCTGTCACCCTGCAGCATGGGCGGCGGAGATAAGAGCGCGCGCAGCGTGCTGCCGCAGTTGAGCTGTGATGAAGAGGAGCAGCCTCACGAGGATGGAGCAGCTCTGATCAACCAGCTCTGATCAACCAGCTCCTGGAACAACTGCAACGATCGATAAACAACATCGCGGAGGAGCTGCGCAAAGTTTGTCTGCGGGAAGGAAGATTCACCGATAACAAGGTCAGAGTTGATTTCAATATCGTAATATAATAGTGACTGTAAAACATCCGTGTGGTTTCTACAGAGGTAATTAATTGCGCTGCTGCAAAGGGCAAATTAAATGCAATGATTTGTCTCTTTCCAAATAAAACAAGGCTTTGGGTTAATTCCAGTTGTGGATCTAAAACCTTCAAAATATCACTTTTTCACACTTTAGAGAATGAACCTCAGCAGCGTATCGGTGCATCTCAACGTGGCTTCATGCAAGTATGACAAGAGCACACCTCTGTTTGTGTTGCTGTGTCTAACGTGTGCCAGGATTATGTGTTTGGTCACTCACTCCTGATATAGAAAGGCACTACCTGTGTACGTACAGAAATGGCCCTGGTGGTAATCCTGGATTTCCACTAATCTTCCAGCTCCTCTGCCTCCGCTGGCAAAAATAAACCCTCCACGCAGCCAGCAGTGAATGTGTACCCACACATCCAGCAGAGAAGTCACGCAGGGGTGGTGTAGTTCCCCATGAATGTGTTCAAATGTAACCACGCGGTTCTGGTTAATTAGTGAAGAGGCTCAATGTCCGGGGGCTGTTGTTGACAAGGACCCTTTTGGACATTTCTTCTGAGGTATATATTTGACTCTAAGAGAACTCAGACTGCAGAACTCTTGCAGTTAAAGTATCTGGAGGAAAGACCCTAACCGAGGTTTGATCGGCCTGTAGTGGGGCAACCTTAGCAGCAAGGTCCAAAAAACAAATAATGCAAAGGTACAAAACTGATTGAATGTCCTTGAAATCTGCTGATGGTCGCTTACATTGGCAATTTTATAATCAAGTGTGGAGGAAGACCTTAAAACGTACAATGGATACTTGTCCTATGTTTTAAAAAACAGTTAGTATAAAGTCAAGCATCGCTGACATAGAGAGAGTCCAAGAAAAAATGCTGATACAATAAATAATGAATTTTATAGTTTCCTCTCACCGACGGGGTAAACTTTATGGTTGATGCATTTTTTTTTTTTACCAGTTTCTCTTTAGTCCTTGGGAAGTCAATACCAGCATCCTTTTGGCTCAGCTGCCACCCCCCTACATCACAGAGAAACACAGCAAATCCCCTCAGAGCCTCAATGTGGCGTGCAGGGGCGGAATGCTGAATCAACAGCACACTGGTCCAAGAACTCTCCCCCGCACACACACACACACACACACACACACACACACACACACACACACACACACACCTCCACTGTGTTTTAAAAGTGCTCTGTGCTGATGCTGTTTGACATCTCGGGGGAATACATTTCCAATTTCAAGGCCATGATCAAGACGCATCGTCTCACACACGTCAGGAAATCCTGTTACTGTGCAATATTTTTTTTTGCCTGGTTCTGCTTTGTTTCTCTGCTTGATGATCACTTTTTTGGTTGTGCGTGGGTGGTCTCTCTTCACTCATCTCTCTACAGTCTATGTATGTGTGGGTATGTGGGATAATGAGTTCCTCTGAGGACTTCAGGTGCAGCGCTGTGATGAGGGAAGTTCTGCAGTGCTTTGCTCTCTTACTACGCACGCATACATTTTTTTGCCATCGCTCATAAATGACCGATTTCTGCTCTCTCATCGATTTGCGTGGGCGGCAGGAGCCCAGTCAGCTGCAGCTCTGCCCCAGCACCTCACAGAGCCAGTGCCAGCGTACTAAAGCCTTTTTATTATCATCCCACAGGGCATCGGCCTCGCTCCCCAGCTGCCAGCATGATGAAGGACTGCCTGCAGTTCCTTATTGAGCCGGCCAAAAAGCTCAAAATCCGACTCAAGGTACGGCTACACAACTGTATTTGCTGCAAGTGCTGCAGTTCTACAACTCTCTTTCCGAAATACATTATTCCGTCTCTCTGCCCCAGGAGTCCCGTAAGAGAGTCAAACTTGAGAAGAAGGAGCCGCCGGTGGAAAGTCAGTTGTTTATTATGGAATTGGCTCGAGAGCTCAATAAAATTTGCCAGGTAAGCTCTTTTCATCCTCTCTTCATTTACTTGCTGTCACACAAAATCACAGGCTCTCACCTGTATCTGTTTTTATCCCAGAGGTCAAACATCCTCAGCCACATCTGGACCAGTGAGGACATCTGGCAAGCCAGCATGTGTCGGGATTTTATCGTGGAATGGTCCACTCTTTTAGAAAAGACAGTGCAGGTACAAACCACATGTGTTTTCTATCCAAAATCACTTTAATAACTATGTTTGTCAGCTTCTGCTTAAATGTCTGCTTTTCTGGTTCAGCCGAGGATCATCCTGTCGGACTACCAGTGTGAAAAGCCAGAGAAGAAAGACTGGAAGGGTCACCTCCTCTGCATGCTGGAGGCCGGAGGGGAGTGTGACATGGGGCCCCACAAAAGAGTCATCATGGACTGGACAAGGGGGATTAAAAGCAGGCCTCAGGTGACAATACAATGTTGGATGCTGGGGATAATGTGTGCCAATTAACTGGGTGGCTGGTTGGTGATTAAAGTCTGACCCAGTTTCCTCCTTGCATCTGATTAAGATGATTAAGCCGTTGACAGTCATCCCGTCATACCTGTAATATCCTGGCGTTGGACAAGCAAGATGAGCAGTGTCTGACCGAGGCCAACAGTTTCCTTATGAAACAACATTTAAATTCACGTGGTCTGCATTTTTATTTGGATCTGCACCAAATTGCACACACTCAGAAATAAATTTAAATGTGGAAAACGCCATATCTCACAATGTTAAAGAAAGTGGAAAAAATTACTAGATCTGCCCCCATATTCTGGACACTTGTCACTGAGGATAATCCTTGGGACTATCTATAGTCGAGTGATTTCTGATGTTGCACGCATTATTATACACACATACCCAGATGTCAATGGAAACTGTACTCGCTCATGCAGGATTAATTTAACAGTCTCCTAAGTATGTACTTAATCCAAAGCATTAGTTAAGGAGATTCACAATCTGAAGTGTACTAATAAGCAGGGTACATATTTGCACATGATCTGGGAGTGGTCCCTGGTTTACCCATTCTGGTGTTAAATATCTAAAATATTGGGGAATTGGCTCAGCTCAGCTCTACCATCAACCCACGATTTTATCTCCTTGGTGACAGAACACTGATACCTGGTCTTATCACGGCCCCAAGACTCATATTGAAAAACTGAAAGAATCCTGGTTCCCATGATTAAGATTCTATCGTATAAACACGTTGGGAAGAATTATTAAAGGGCCATCATCTATTGTACAAATTATCTGTATCTGCTATGTGGTATACTGCACTAATCTGTTGGGGGTGGGTCTGTTTTTTTTGGCTCGGGCCGTCTATCTGTAAAGGTCAGATAGTGAAAATGAGATGGTAATGAACAACCTGAACCTTGATTAACGCTCATCCTCTGCAACGTCTTCTGTCTAGCCCACCGTCTGGCCAGGCGAGCCGGTGCTCATGATGCTCGACGACCTGGAGTTCCAGTGGAAGAGGGGCCGCCTCCCCAACCTGCTCCCCGCCATGGAGCTGGTCATGCTGTCCGTGCTGAACGCCGACAGCCCTGTGAAGGTGTGAATGTCTGTCTCAGTATTTCCCCTGATTAGATCGTGCTGTATATTTATTTTGTGCCATGAGGAATCGAGTGCTTTGGCTTTCTGGTTCAGGTCGTTAACAATGACAGTATGTATGATGTATGTAAGATACATAACCTGCACGTGTTGTTCAACTCCTGTGTGTGTGTGTGTGTGTGTGTGTGTAGGAGGATGTGACTAAGCAGTGGCTGGTGAGAAAGCAGAGGAGCCAGAGTGCTGGTGAGTGGATTTATGACGGATAATGAAAGTGTTAGAGTAATAAACTCCACCTTAAAAACAATCTAATGATAAGAAATCCATTCATTCAAACCTCATGTATGAATTGTTACTGATTACAATGCAGTAGAATTGCCCTATAACCTGAATGAGTGGTTTTACCAGGAGTGACACTTAATGAATCACTTTCATTGAAACTAATCAGTATTGATACATGATTAAAGAGGCCGTGCCAGAGCACGTTGAAGGATAAGATTGATGACTGAATCACTTGAATGATCACTTTCTCCTTTCAGACGCCGTCAGCTACATCCCCCACAGCGGTGAGTGAAAATCCTCAATGCTGTTTTCATTCTTGATTAATTGGTTGACTGGAGATGATTTCAAATCTAGAGTAAATCACAGTATACGTCGTCACAACATGTAACTCTTATGTGATACAGACAAAAAAGAACTGCTGAGTCAGGTTATGATTCTCTCTGGGGTCGTCACCATAAGTTACCTCTTTCATATTGCACAGTCATTGGATCTGTATGTATATAAATGTATGAGATATAAAGATGTAGATATAAAGATATTGATTAGAGTATCTTTAAACATTTCTTTTTTCCTCCAGTGTGGAATTGGATTTGCGATGCAGCAGGTAAGAAATCTAAATAATATACTTTTAGTTTGATACAATTTTTTGGTGTAATTTGTTATTTTAATTGTAGGATCATAAATTGGAAGCAGTAAAGCTGCATGTATTGAAAAAAACAAAACAATCTACCCTCCGTCATCAAACTCTAATATCTGACCGATATGTGTATTATCTTTCTGTAATCGGCACAGAGGACGTCACTTTGGACTCGGACTCCGCCAACCCAGACCTTATCATTTCCAGTGATGAAAAACGCATGCGCTGTGGCCTGGAGCGCCGCGACGCCCCGCGGTGCAGGCGCCGCTTCAACGGCTGGTGGTGTGCAACAGGCCAGGAGGGCTACGCCTCCGGACGCCACTACTGGGAGGTGGAGGTGGGTGAGCGGGACTGGCGGCTGGGAGTTGCCAAGGCGTCCGCCATGAGGCAGGGCTTCCGCTCCCTCAACACGGTAACGGGCTACCTGACCCTGCGGCTGGAGAGGGGCTCGGATCTGAAAGCCTTGACGGTGCCCGCCACCTCGCTGCCGCAGAGCTTGGTGCCCAGGAAAGTCGGGGTGTACCTGGACTATGAGCAAGGCCAGCTGTCCTTCTATGACGTGGTGAAGCGCTCGCACCTGTACACCTTCAACGAGAAGTTCACAGAGGAACTGTACCCGGTTTTCGGGACTGTGGAGGTGGTGAACGACCTGGTGATCAGGCCTGCAGATGTCAGACAGCGGTGCCTCTGCCCCGGGCCCTGCCTCTGGAATTGAATCAAACATCCACCACTTCTCTGTCCTGATCCTCAGCAGCCCACAGAGTCTGTGCTTTCATTTATTTAGTCGATTTCAATCTTGTGTGCTGGTTTTAGACCAAAACGTGTCTCTGCGGGCTGCTTTGTGAAAACAGGAACAAGAACCATTATTCTGCATCACGTGTGTTCTGTTCCTCTGCCTTCATGGAGACAGCGTCGTCAGATATGAACTCTGGACAATGTGTGCAGAATTGGAAAGCGTTCAGGTGGGAGGTGGTGCAGCAGGGAGAGGGGGGACTGACAGCACATCGACACCGGTGTCGATCCTTATCACCAAAAGCTCTCTTGACATCTTCGACGGTGTCTCCTACGTATGTGGCACCACTTTTTTGGCCTGAGATATTTGTTTTCTTTTTATCATTATCGCATTTTTCGCATGTTCCAACACACCTACTCCCTTGTGGTGAATTCTCCTCCTCCAGGATCTCCTGCTCCTCTCACATGGGCACATCCTTCCATTCTCCAGAGATTTTACTTCGGGGGGGGGCTGGTGGGTGAAACTCTGCAGGAATTCAGGAGCCTCTGACTCTGACAAAAATCAGAGTTCAGTGCATGTCTGAAAGCAGCTATATACAGTATTTGACTATTTGTAATGTAAAGACTATTTCAATGCTGTAAAAACATTTTTTCACTGGTAAATAAGATTTGAAAGCGATTCAGTGCAGCTGATGCCAACACATGCAGGAACATAAAGTGGAGATGCATGTCGAGAGATAATTCTCACTTCTTGGTTTTTAAGCTTCCTATTTGTCAGGCATGAGTTTGTTTTTGCAGCTGTGCTTTTGTTTATGTGTGAAATATGTAAAGATGTTTTTTGCCCCTCATAAACATCTGAATAAATGAACTATAAATGCTCCTTCTTGTCTTCAAACATCATTTAGATATTAATAAATATTTTAATTACAAATCTTGAAGTGAAACAGCACTGCATTAAATAAGAGAAAAGACACAATGCAAAAAGGTTAAATCAGCTACTTAAAGGTCCAGTGTGCAAAATTTAGGTGAAAGGGATCTATTGGCAGAAATTGAAAATAAAATAATCCTAGTGATGGCCCTTTATATGTAAATACTTTATAATTACACAGGGAGCAGGTTCTCTCTACGGAGGCCGCCATGTTTTTTACAGTAGCCCAAACTGGAAAAACAAAACACTTTTTGAGATGACAACTGAATGCTTCCTCAGGTTCTCTGTCATGTTTTGAAGGAGGCTGAGGTAAGGGGTATTCCGCTGCAACATGCAGCTTCACCACTAGATGTCACTAAATTCTACACACTGAACCTTTAAGAGTAAATGATACATGTTGATCAAAAGTACAAAAAGCATGTTTTTGGTGAAATTCACTTATCTGCATCTTTATTTCTGAAAAATCCTCCTCAAAATGTTTTACAAAAGCATTTTCATCCAAATTCAAGCCCAAAACACAGTAGGACATGCATAGAAGGAAATACAATCTTTCTGTCTTTACATACCGTTCCTCTAAAAATTTCAACCTATCACTGAAATGTTAATCCACTCAAAATGCAAAATACAACAGTAGACACAGCAACTGGATAAAACATTTTGAAAAAGAAAACATCTGAAATACAAAAGCAAAAGCATATTATATCAAATAGAGTTTTGAGATCATAATCATGCCCTTAGCTTGACAGTAGGAAATAAGTGTATCAAATCTTTCTATATTTGGCATTTAATTCATTTAAGACAGTCTGCTTAGATAAAAATCTTTAGTATGAAATATGCTTGAAGAAAGCTTTATTGCATTTTAATATCATACAAATCTATGAACAGAATCCCAAACACACCACCTCTGTGCCCTCCACCCCTCAGGACAGATGAAAATGAAATGTGTAAAGCATCCGCCACAAAAACGAAGCCAAAACTTCCTGCAGATCAGAACGCTTTCAGACTAAACATGGTTTGAAGATTTGGTGAGTTTATCGAACACGTTGCGTTTCTTACAGACGGATGGGGGGACAGGGGACAAGTGGAGAAGGGTCACTTTGGATTACTGAACTGCAGTCAGATTACTGACCTGTGCTGGGCTGTGTAAAGCCCCAGTGTGTGTTGGCAGATCTGAACTGACAGAAGGAGGGCAGTCTAACACAGAAGGATTCTCCTCTTGAAAAGAAAACGTGGGATGAAACAGTCTCAGGTGCAACACTGATAGTTGTAGAAATGTTACAATGAAGGGAAACAGCGTCCCAGTGCGTAACAGACATGACAGAAGAACACAACAGCCTCCTCTCCTTTTATTTACACTATCACTCGACTTTAGTTTTTTTTGGTCGCAGAATCTCACACCCACACCCAAAATATAACTGACTGTGTGAGAGAGAATCTCAGGGTGCTTTCACATCTACTTGTTTAGGCAGGACTTTAGTCCATCTGTACCGCATATCCTTTTGAGGGTCAAGGGGTGAGATGGAGACAATCGCAGTTGAGGTGTGGTTCACCCTGGATGAGTCGCCAACACACAGAGACAAACAATCACTCACACTCATATTCACACCTATGGTCAATTTAAAGTCTCCAATCAACCTACCCCCAATCTGCATGTCTTTGCATGTATTCTGACTGTAGGAGAAAACCCACGTAAACTTGGGGATAACATGCAAACACCACACAGAAAGATCCTGGCCGACAACCACCATGCCACCCCTTTTCAGTTTAGGCTACAATCCAAAACAAGAACCAAAATAATAGACAGGGCTGAAAATAACTTGCCTCAGACCAAGGTCTAGATCTGCAGACTGAGATTTAGTTCAAAAGAGGCCTTCTCAGTCCAGAACAAACTGAACCATGGTTCTGACCAGTTGCAGTTTGAAAACACTTTTTTGGGTTGTTAAGACTTTCGGGCTTGTTAAGACTATGGCATGAAGTTGAAAGAGGATTAAATAAAAGAATAAGAGAGTCAAAGCAGCTCGCAGGATTGCTCGCAGTTTTCCCTCTGATGATATAATGTTTGAACAATGACGACTTTCATTTGGCAAATTCAAAGTAGTGTCAAGTATTAAACCTCAAGTTGGTGATGCTGGTAGAAATACCAATATAATATTATTGGTGGTAACAAAATTAACTGGTTTATTTACTTTGTCCATTTAAATAGAAAGACTGCTACCTGCCGAACTGACAACACAGCAACATCAGATGCACGTCCGACTACAAACCAATCATTGTCAAGTAAACAGCCCACTTAGGTGATGACGACAGGACGTTTGCATGTCATACAAAAGTCTTTAGTGGTCTTGCTAGCCTACAATGTGAAACCAAGACTAAATGGATCTAATATAAACTGTACAAAGTAACAAAAACATGACGCTTGATTCAGACTTTCAGGTGTGAAAACGCCCTGAGATTCCCGTTGGGACCTTTGGGTGTGAACTTGGGTACAGTTAAGTAGAAAATCTTATGATTCATAAAACATCTTCTTTGTGACAGTTGTTCCTCCTATGATGCCCCTCTGGACCACCTCCTTGGTGATCTGACGAGTCACCATGCCGCTGGTCTCCGAGTGCTGTGTGGTCATCATCATCCCCTCTGTTAGAGAAGAAAGCAGTGAACATGAGTCTGTGAATGGATCTCATCAATAGGAAGAACATAAATGAAACTGGAGGCTTATTTGTACCTGAGAAGTAGGGGTCATTGAGCATGGTGTGTGAGATGTCTGTCCGTGTGCTGATTTCTGTTGGCAATTGGAAAACCTCCCTACTCATCAGTGACTGGTTATTGTACTGAGACAGTGCACCTACAGAAAGTGAGGAAGGAAGTAAACACATTAGCGTCAGCGAGTTCTCATACTTTAATTTAATTTAGTTAATTTCTCTCCACATGTATCAAGTGCTGCTCATTGTGGGAACTGTTGGGTTTCACTACAATCTTTAAGGTCTCAACCTTACTATGTAATGTGCCTTGAATATATTATGATTTTTGTTGGATTTGTGGAACCCAGAAGTTAACTTTTTCTATAATTACAGCATCAGGCTAAAATTTCCTCTAATACTGAGAAGGTGAATAATTTCTATTTTCATCACCACACATTGTTTACTCTAGAATCCTCTCTGGACCAAAAATCAATGCTGCACAGAAAATATACCACTGTTTAATAGGTAGATTGCCAGTTCCATTCATACGTCTAAGGGGATGAACCCTTTCTTATTAAAAAGTTAGCAATTTTAGTTCCGCTACCAATAGGGTCAAAAGGAAAAACAACAGGGTGGTTTTAAATCTATCCCCACTGTCATATTACTGGCTGCCATGAACGATACAGTCATTTATTTTCATTCATTTAAAAGATTTGTCAGTAAAATTAATCTCACCTTCATCTTCAGATTCGATGGTGATGATGCCCTCCCTCTCTGGACCGAAGCCCTGTGTGGTTCGAGCCTGAACTTTGAACTTGTAGGGAACGTTCTCAGTCAGGTTGGGAACAGTGAGACTGGTCTCGGTGCTGTCTCCATTCACCTGGAAGGAACGTGTGTCACCTGGAGAAAACAAGAAATAGAGGTGAGGAAAGCACACACTTTCAAAACCTAGAAAAAGTTAAATTTGTATTGCAAATTGATTCTCACTTCCACCATGCAGCTCTTCGCAGGTCACCACGTAGCCCAAGATGTCTCCGTTGGGTTTTCGAGGCTTCTCCCAGCTGAGCTGCAGCGAATCGGGGCTCAGAGCAGTGAAAACCAGGGGGCCTGGAGCACTGGGAGTACTCAGAGTGAATGGTGAGCCTGCAGTTAAAGAAGACGTCAGTAATCACATACAGACATAATCATTGTTGCGGTGACACAAAGTTGAACAGAATCAGTACCTGGCATTGGGCTGAGAGGACTCTTGGGATCGACTGCAGATTCAATGGTGATGACTCCTTCTCTTTCTGGGCCCCAGCCCTCCTGGCTCTTAGCCTTCACCTTAAATAGATAGGAGTAGTTGGGCAGCAGGTCCTGGATGATCACAGAGTTCTCTGCTGGGTTTGTCATAATGTGCTTTTGATCACCTGAAGAAGAGGACACAGGTTTTTTTTAGCATTAACAATAAAAACTGAAAAGGGAATGAATGCACCAAACCCAAACTAAAGAAAACATTGATAAACTGCCTCCAATACCCAGTACATGCACCACTGTCACAGCAAAGTGTTTTTTAATCAATAGATTGTCCTTGTCCGACTTTTTAAATTATTACTTACCTCCATTGAGCTGCTGGTAGAGGACACAGTAGCCAAGGATGTTTTTCTCACATCGGGGCTCCTGCCAGCTGACCTTGAGGGCAGTGGGACCCAGTGCGGAAAACACCAGTCTGCTGGGGGTGTCTGGGACCCCAGGAGAAAGTCGTGCATCTGATAGATGCCAGAGAGAGACAGGAGTAAGATTACCATTGGATATGATCACTGTGAATGTGTGGTGATTCTCTGTTAACATTTAACCCGAGATTGTAAGGGGTAAAAAAGACAGAGAAGAACAGACTTAGTATTTAGCCATTTATTTTAACTGATTTGGATTGTAAATGAAAGAACTTGTTCAGACATCTTTATTTTCTTGTTTATTATGGCCTTATAGACTGTTATTTAAGTCCATAACTAACATGTGCTTTGAAAAGATGTCGTAGGGAATGTTCTCAGTCAGGTTGGGGTTCAGTTTTAGTTTTTTATGTAACTTAAAACATAATGGTTTGTATAAAACCGCAGGTCTAACCAGGTCCAAGAGGGCAACAAAGTTTCAGAGAAGCAGGAATGAAGATGACTGATGAGGAGAGATTAACGCATCACACCCAGCAACACCTACAGTGCCTTCATGCCTGTATGCTGCAGACTTACCCTGGAGCACCCTGTCCAGACTATATAAGGCTTCGTTGACGTCTGAAGACTGGGTCCTGGCCCTGGAACCCTGAGGCAGGTTGTAGCTGAACTGGCTCTGAGAGCTGCTCTGCATCCCAGTGTAGCCGAAACCACCTGATGGCGCATTGAGCAGGAGGGGAAATGCAGGAGGAAGAGGAGGAGGCCGGATGATAAAGAAGAGAAAGAGAGCAAAGAGAAGGATAGAAGTAGCACAGTAGGACGGGGAGAAGGGAAGGTGGAGAGTGAAGTCAAAAAGAGGTCAGAGGTCAAAGATGAGACAAGGGGAGGGAGGGAGAAACAGCGATAGTCAGCATAGCTCCTGCAAAGTCTGTATGTATAAGCCTGCTGTGCAGCCAATAGCCCCAACCCTGCTAACAGATGTCCAAGCTATCAGCCTCATGCACTTGCAGTTTACCTGCTAAGGCATTATCATCATTGTATTACAAAGTAAAACCTTTCTTAGACCAGACAGTCAACAGCTAATTCCTCTAAATGTACTTCTGTTACCACTGCTGACATCTAAAGCTTACCCAGTTCTGAAAACTTGCTTGACAAATCTCCCATGACAATTGAGTCCCGGATGTTCTCTTCTGTGTAAGCCCTGTTCTCCGAGCGCTTCCTCATGATGACTTCCGATGAATGTACTCCACCTCCAATCATATCTGTCCTGCGAGAGCCTCCTTCAACACCAGAGAAAGATTAAGCATAAAAAAACATGTGTTTTTACCAAATTCTTAACATTGAATCCGGCATCCACCTCACCTGGTCCGGACATGTAGGTGGTGGATGTCTCTGTGGTGAAGGAGCTGCCTCCTCCTCTGTAGTTTGAGCTCAGGGTGGACATAGGAGAGGATGATGTTGACAGGTTGCGTGTCACTGATCCCCCCGGGAAATGGAAGTTCTGTTCCCATTTCCCGTTCATCATGAAATCTGTGAAACATGATAACAGTCATCAGACAGATGCTGGGAAATTCAGCAGTTAGCATTCTGACGTTCTGACTGGAACAACCCAGTGTCGCTGATGTGAAGCACCCAAAACCAGGCTCAACTGGCCTATAGAGCGGAAGCAGCAGACCTGTGACCTATACCATATGTGCTGTAGCTTTAGTGTGACTTGTGTAGCTTTAGTGTGACTTGTGCCAAAAACAGTAGTGCACCATCTACAGGCAATAACAGTTACTGCTGCAGTTTTTGTTTGTGTAGCTGCGTTCTGTTTTTTTATGAACTGATGAATAGCATCTTTATTGGTTAATTAATTAATATGTCAAAAGGAAAAAAATATTTGAATTGATTGATACCTTATCAAACACTATTTGTAGTTTTACCAACACATTTTACCACCACAGGATGAAATGTATTTCAGTTAAGTTTCTATTTTTAGGTTTTATTTTAATGAGCTATATATATATATATATAATGTCTCCTGTCCTGTCTTGTGTTAGTCTAGAATGTTAGTGTGTTAAAATGTCTAATTATTACTGAACAAAAAGTGCAGTTATCCACATCTGGCTGTACCTCATTGAAAGGCAAAGAATTCAGGATAATTTGGCTGGCTGGTGACGATAAAAGCTGCTTCAGACACACACTGAACTTTGGATAATCTCCTGACCTGAAGTCTACTTTGAGAGTGCAAATGAAAACACATGAACGCCTCTGAGCGGAAAATCTCTTGCTGTGTTTTTCATGTGTGAAAGTCCAGACTCAATTGTGAGGACATCCTTGAAAGCTTCAGTAAAAAATGTGGGAATTAACAGAGTCATAAGGATTCAGCCTCTGGGTGCCATGAATGTCTTGACTCGATTTCATGTCAATTGATGTGATAGTTATTCAATGAAAACTGCAGTGTTGCTCTTTTGCCTGTAGGTGGTGACATAAATATGTCTTCTCTTTCATATGAAAACTGCTGCTGCTACTACTTTGGAGGGTGGATAACTTATCTCCTGCTTGTTAAACAGCTCCATTGATCAAATGTATCGGGAGATCAAATCAAATACTGCTTCACTTGTAGGCGACGTTACTGATACTGCCCTGCAGAGATGAAACTGTAGTGAAGACAAGAACCCATTATCTCCCTACAGCCACAACTAAGCCTACACACCAAACAAGCTGTCTCGAGATCACTACCTCCTCAGTGGGATGGAGAGAGGACAGACAGAGACAGGCACCGGGAAAAGTCTGCCCCCGATCATCAACTGCAGGTGGGACAGTTGATGCCAGTGCTCCTGTCTGGGCAGATGGCGGGAGGATAGATGGGATAGGTGCCAACTGGGGGCCAAGGGGACAAGGAACGCAAGCCCGAAAAATTAAATGATTAGACTAACGATGATGTTTCTGAGCAGATCAATCACAAAGGCAGAGAGAAATATCTGTTGACTTGCTGGGCGATTGACTGGCCGTGCACTAACAGCTGACATGCTCGCTCCCTGTCTGGCTATCTGTGGGTCTGATGGAGTGGTCTTCACCTGGCAGGGGTGTTTGGGCGTAGCTGGGGCGGGGGGCCTCATCTGAACTCGCCTCTGTGTCTGTGCTGTAGCGACTGCTGATGACGTCCACCTGCTTTTTCCACGACACCTTACGCAGATCTAGATTGGACCCCACCAACTTGACATATTTCCATCCTTGTATTTGGGGTCATAGGGTAGAAGCAAGGAGGCGGAGAAGTATCAAGTGTTTTTTTCTTTAACGATACATTACTAATCAAAAATAAAAGCTGTAACACATTCATGGGACATGGGATCACATAATGTATGCATACATGTATGTTGTTTGAATTACAGAAATCCAAGTGGGCTTGGTGGAGTGCAGCAACATCCACATTTGTCTTTCAGACAAAACTAATAGCACAAACATGGCTGCAGATAGCAGGAGAGTGACAGCTGATTTAGTGAGGGAAGGCACTGAGGTTTATGATCATAAAGCACTTCTACTGCAGATATCTACAAATGGATTGGAAGCAGATTTCACCGCTGCCTGGTTGGGGCGTTGCCTGCCAGATGGAAGTAATATGAAAAAAGGCAGTGCCATGAGAAGGATGCCATTCTTGAGCTTCTTGACTCTTCCAGCTCTTACTTAACGTCACGCTTGTCAAATGGAGGAAGAATATGAATATCAGCCTCTGTAGGCTTTTCACACAGAAATACAGAAATGTTAAAAAAGGTGCCAGTAGAGAACAGATGAGGCCTTCTCAGTTTCATCTCAGGGGGAGTGGGATGACTACTCCAACAACACAGATTGGACAAACATTTCACAGCAATGTCCACTCCCCCTCCTCCTGATAGGGCGATGACACCTCAGCACATATGGTATAGGTAAAAAGCAAGAGGCCTGAGAGTGCTGAGGATGTGAAGTAAAATAATTGGATCCATATCACAGTAATAGCTCACAGTCTGGAAGCCTGCAGGTCACATGCAGCTTGACAGAGCCTAAAATGCATCACAATAACACACCAGCACAATGGGTTTACACTGTTAGAGGAGTAGGTTGTGGCCTTTGCTCTGGGTACCCACCATCACCAGAGACGCTGGGGGTCTTGGAGCCTCCAGGGGACTTCAGCACCTCATTGCTGTACATCAGGTAGCTATCATACTCGTCTCCAGCCTCTGCGTCCACAATAGGGATGTCTGGAATAATGGGAACTAGTGACAAAAAGAGATAGAATTAAATCTCATCCCAGGGAAACAAGACCTCACTGTAATGCAGTGTGCAGATGTGTTCGCCCTCGACTTACTGGACAGTGGTCTGGTAGGCTGTGATGCCAGGTTGATGGAAGCGTCTTTGAAGGGACCCCAGCCCACGCTGTTCTTGGCACGGACCTTGTACTGGTAGGTTTGTGCATTCTGGAGGTTCTCGATCAACAGCATTCGTTTCTTGGGGTTGTCGATCTTTACTTTCTTGGCAGCACCCACCGGCTCTGCGAAAAGAAATAAGTTATAGAACATGATGGAAATTCCATAATGCTAATCCTAACAAGATTTAAAAATGAAAAAGGGGGACTCAGTGACTTACTCAGGTCATCATCGATGGGTGTGTAGATGACTTCGTAAGCTGTGATGTTGCCGTTTGTCTCTGCGGGCTCTGCCCAACTGACCTGGGTGACAGTCGGGCTGATGACGTTAAAGGCCAAACGTCCAGGTTCACCAGGCACTGGAGGAGAATGAGTCAAACTTAACGTACTTATAGAACCAGTGTTAACTAAGTCAAGGTTTTGTTATTATTAATAATAGCCGATACAATGGACAGTATTTGCTATTATTTACATTTACATTTAGGGCATTTAGCAGACACTTTTGTCCAAAGTGACTTACAATAAGTACTTTTGTCACAAGAGAGAAACCACAACACATCACCGTTGATGGGGTAAAACGAAATATAGAAACAATTGTCAAGCCCTCATCTGAGGATCTTAACTGCTATATGTAACTGCTATATCTGAGGATTATGTAACTGTTAATGAAAGAGTAAAACCTGTAATAATGCAATGTGGTTCACATACCTACATTGATAAAATGTTGCCTAACAATGATGTAAAGTGGAAATGTTGGTAATCATATGACATGAAATAACATAAAATACATGCAAACTATATAAATTACCTGATAACATCTTGGTTAAAATAATTAGATATTTCACTCCACTCATTTACAAACTGTGTGAATATAAATTATGTTTCCAAATTCCTTGCACCAACCCCCTACCTATGTTTAGAAATGTTTGTGTCTAAACAATGGTACTAACAAAATGTTTGGAATTGGTCCAGTAAATTGACACAGCGACAGTGGCTACAGTGTAATCTTAAGGGGCAACTGTGACACACCACAAATTGTCCACTAAAATAATATTTTTTACTCAGGCTCAAATTGTTATTCTGGGTTTCTGCTAAAATTCTGGCAACATAACACGTCTCACTCAACAAGAAGTTTCACTCTCGACCATGCAGCAGCTTGTTGTCTCTTTCTCCGTTCTCGTTAGTGCTTTGATGTTTACTCCATACACTAAAGCTCAAACCTTAGGGACGGCGATCAGCATGAAACGCTTGTACGACACACATCAGAAAAAGATTCAGCTATAACAGTTTCACTCTGTAAAATACAAACTGCTCTCTCCAACTCTCTCTCTCACTCTCCTCCGTTTCCTACAACAACCCAAGTCTCATGAGACTTGAGAGTGAGACTTCTCATCGAGCGAAATATGTGTAATGTTGCCAGACTTTTAGCAAAGACCCAGAACAACAATTTGAGCCTTTTATTGGTGAAAAAACCCCTCTTTTCTTGGACTGTCGCAACTGCTCTATAAGATTAAATTATAGCCACTGCTGCTGTGTCATGGCTGCCGATGTAGATGATCTACTGGTCAGATTCCAAAAGTTTTTGTAAATACCATTCATTTACACACACATTTACAAAAGTAGGGCCCAGGTTTAAAAAAATACCAGAATTACACTTTAAAGTGTAGGGTTTAACTTTGTAAAAAGAGTTGAGTAAAACAAGCCAGAAGTTACTAAAACTTTATGCTCAAATTTAACAACAGATTTATGAATAGCTGGTGCAACACAGTCTAGCTGGATAAATTGCAAAAAAATGTAATTTGCTAGATACATTTATTTTATATTTTGTTTCATCTGAAGCAGTTAATCTGCGTGTTGCTCCTTTAATGAACAGCATCTAACTGAACTCAAAAGGATTACCGTCTTCCAGGGTCTGACAGGCAACCATGTCGGTATTGTAGCCATCTCCCATTGAATTATAGGCGCACACTCGCATCTCGTAGTCGCAATAGGGGTAAAGGTTGGTCAACTCAGCTTGAGGCGTCTTCACATCCAAGACCTGGGCGTCTTTTTCTGGGTCGCCGTAAATCCAATACTTCACCTAAAAAAACAAGGTAAGAGCATAGATACAGTACTTGAGAAAAAGAGTGGCTCTTGTAAATGATACTAATTCATTCAAGTTGGGGCTTCTGTTTGTGTTGATTCTATGTACCTTGTAGCCCATTGGGTTACCAGGTGGTGGGTCCCAGTTGAGGTGAATATTTCTGGGTCCAGTTGCTTTGGCTTTCGGGTTTCCTGGAGCGAGAAGGAGACCACCAGGAGAGGTGCATTTTGGCTGGACGTAGCCTTTCTGTGACATGTGAGCAATCTCAGGACCTGCAAAAAGGAGAGCAGAAATAATCAGATCAACTGTTTCCTTCTCTCATCATGTAATATCTCAGACGTCAGACCACCAGAAACAAATTAAATTTTCTCTCTCTCCATTGTGTCTAACCTCCGTCTGTGACATTGACAACGGTGGTCTTCCTATCTCCAAGAGAAGCATTGCTACTTGGGTCGAACAGCTCCAGATCGAAGGTTTCAGGCTGGATTGCACCAGGATGTTTTTTCGGGTCGATCACTATGTTCTTCTCTGTTTCTCCAGGACCAAACTTCAGTGGGCCGAAGAGGTCGAAACGCTGGGCCTTCTTGGTACGCCATTTCACTGTTGCGGAGCTATCAGGGTTTCGAGTACGTACCACAGGAATGGTGTAGGTCGGGTCAGATGTGGAGAAGTTCTGGGTGCCCTTTTTGAACATCATCACGCTGGGCTCTAGATAAAATAAGATATTGTCAATTAAGAGATGAAACCTTTGCAATCAATATTTTGATTGGGTGTGAGTAATGTGAAAAGTATTGTGTCCTTTTACCTGGCTGGTCTGCGATGGTGATAGTAGTTCTAGGGTAGCGCCCCAGCTTGGCTCCCTGCCGTGGGTTACTGAGGTCCATGACAAACTGCTTGACCTGTTTGTCTTCCAGGAGGCCATCTTTCTCACCCAGCTCCAGCAGACGAACAGGAACTGTCTTCTGAGTCTCACCAGAACCATAGGTCAGGTCTCCTTCCACTGTTATATAGTCCTAAAATACATAGGATCAACAGGTTAGAAGCACATTATGAAGCAGAACTGTATCTCATCTACAAGTCATCACAAATTGGCTGCAGCTTCTGATGACCCCTTCGCTTGGCAGAGCAACAATATTTTGAGTCTGGGTTGACTTGCATCACCAGATCTCCACAGTGCCATGTCAGCAGTGGATAATGGTTGGATTGCACCTATTACTACAGTGCTATAGGGGGAAAAAGCATTGGCTCGGCTGTATTTCTTTTACCAATCACAACTATCTTAGCAGCACTAAGCACTGGATACAATGATGCTACCTCTGCGAAACAAAGTCAGAGGAGGAACTTGTTATGGTGGAACATTTGCACAAAGACAGGAATCACTGTCGTTAAAAAAGAACATTTCTATCAAATTAAAATAAACAAAAAATCTGGTTGGCACATGAAGTGCCTCTGTCCTGTAAATTGACTTTGTTTGCTTTCATTTTTTAGTAAACAAGTCACATACTAACAATACTAACAAAGTTAGTAGGACCAATTTTCACAATATATTCAGTGATGTGTGGCTTTGTTAAGATAGATAGATAGACACACTTGTAGATGTAGACGCAATAAAATTTAGTGCAGTGATCATCAGCTCACCTTTTTGTCCTTGGCTGTGAGGTCCCGTGAGCGGTATGTGACCTGTGTTCGTCCATCCTCAATGATCTCCCTGCTGATTGGAATGTTGGCCACTCCGTCCTGTCTGCTGTATGTGTAGGCTGGCTGGAGGAACGAGAACACACTGGTGGCTGCGGAGAAAGAAAAGAGAAGAATCAACAAGCGAAGATTTTACATTTTTCATTGTCTTTAGTCAGGGGGCTTCTGTCAAGTCCCTCATTGCGTTCTTTTTGATTGAAAAGTCATTGAGATAGAAATGTGATTTTTCAGGTACAAATACATGAGGTCCAAGATTCCGCACCATGATCTTTGATGATGGTGATGTTGACCAAACGTTTTCCAATCCCAGCAATGCCCAGTGGCACATCCACAGCCTCCACATGCAGCTGCTTCTTGTCATCGTCTTCTTCTTTGACAAAGAGCGGCACATGAACGTCTAATAACTCCACGCCTTCCTGGAACTCGATGGCTCCCGCAGCCTCTGCAGAGGAGGACCACGTGTAACAACAAGTTTAATGACAAGGCCGATGATCGATGAGCAGATCGGTGGAGATCGGAATTGAACATTAGAATTTTATTTTCTTTCACATTTACAAACAGCAAAAGTTCACCTCTGTCTGTGGCCACAGTGTAGTACCCAGGCGCCACTTTGAGGTTGTGGAACTTTCCAGACTGGACATTTTTTTCTGTGAGTTTAACAATATCAGGATAGCTGCTACGAGGAGCGGACAAGACAGTGTCCATGATGGTGTAGTCCTGCCTGAGGAGCAAAGGAGAAAAATAAGGCATGTGTGACCATTGGTTCCTGAAAAACAACCGCGTCAGTGTCAACTTGTATCATCGTGTATCGTTTTGTTACCTTTTTCCAGCATTTCTCTGCGTTCTGTAAAAACCAAAACAAATAATCAATTGGTGAGAGAATGGACATTTTCCTTTAAGGACACTGGATGTAGGTGTGCTGAGGATGCTGCAGTACTCCGTACTGGTGGTTGGCTGTAACTGCTAGACAAAATATGGAGTCAAGCTGTTTTGGCATACAAGATGTGCAAGTTTGATATATGCTATTGTGTAAAATGCCTTAAACTGACATTTAATATGATGTCATTATACAGCCGTCTTCTCTGCACCCCCAACTCAGACATACCTCCAGACTTCCCATTCAACTTTTGTTTTAACTATGAAAATACGAAATCATTTATATCTTACAATGACAACCGTTGCATGTAATAAATGAAGCATATGTTACGGAACATACTATACACAACTGGACATGTACATAATGTATCTCACCTGAAAGCGGTCTTCTGCACTTTCTGGGCCCCAGGAATTTGTTTGTACACCTCATTGAGCTAGATGGAAGAAAATGAAACAGTTTTCAGTGACACGGTCAACATTCACACACTTACACACAGGCTCACCAAGAAACAAAACCCAAAAAACACTCACGTTATCGGCCACTTCCTTGCGGAGCTGATCTGTTTCTCTGTCTTCAGGGCGGGACAGGTTGTCAGAGAAAAGCCTGTTCAGCCGGACGGAGAGTGGGAACTGGACTACAAATGAGAAATGACAAGAAGGAAATGTAAAACAATGTTCTACAGACTAAAATATCAGTTTAATGTCATAGGTTTAATTTTAAAGTAATACTGTGTAACGTTTACAGTGCCCCCTGCAAACAGTTAAGTGGTTTTCATTTACAGAAGAAACAAAGTCTATCAATCTCTTGGGTGGAGCTCTTACTGTGTAGTGACTGAAACACAACCGATATGGTGGATATTACCCATGATCCCTGATCCCATGATTATTTGCCTTGTGAACACGATATCTCAAGAAAGCCTTGAGCAAATTTCCTCAAACTTGGTAAAATGTTCATTTGGACTCATTCATTAACTTATTAGAACTGAACTCTATTTAGAATTCTTTATATCTTAAAGGTTTCCTCGCTGCATATTGGAGATAATGTATGTTTTTTGTTGATGTCACAGTTATTTTAAGTCACATTCAATTTAACTGATCTACAGATCAGCATTATTCTTGAACCTGCTTGATTGAAGCTGTGACCTGTAGTCAGTTTCACACTTCTCACAGGAGATCATACCCACTCACCAAAGTTACGAAGAGAAAGAACAGACGTTCATGGTGAGGAGTAGAAATTAAAGTGGCACCATTATACTTTTCAATGTCAGTGAACCATCAAACTAATTTTGTAGCTGCTATTTTAGGTTAAAAATTCGCACAGTGTTGCTGTTAATATAATTTAGCACTTACTAGTCTCTTTAGGATTAGGCATCATCAGAGCCAGGGGGTGATTGGGTCCTCTGTGTACATTATCTGTCACCTTCCAGCGAACCACATCAGTCCCTTTGGGTGGGCCAGTCCTCACCATTGGCGTGTCCAGATGGTCTGAGGTGAGCAGAGACTGGCGGAGCAAATACTCATCTTCCCTGAAGCCGACCATGCGACCTGCAAAGCAAACAACATATGGTGACTCATATTCAACACGGTCCAAGTCTGGGGATGAAGGATTTTAGATCTATGCTGTTGTGTGTGATGTAAGTGACATATTACCTTTACTACAACAAGGCAGCAGGGCAAGACAGCTCTGTTTCAAGTAAAAGATGAGAGGAAAAAAGATTAGAAAAAAAACAGAAAACAAAAAAAAAGTCCATTGGGACTTGGGAAAATCAATCATGTGAGACATGTATTTTTACCTGGAAGCAGGTTTTGCAGCAGGCACAGAATTTCCAGCAGCAGAGCAGCAGGAGTGCCAACAGTAACAACAGGAACAAGAGTAGAGGGAGCAGCCACAGGAGGCTGGCAGCGGGACAATCTGAAGGGCCATCACAAAACGCAGATAACGTTAGAAATGCAGCCCTCATACAGAATACTGCTGCCACAAGTTTAACTGGAGCAATAACAAGAGCTCTCATTTAGTATATCCTGCTCTTAACTCAGGCTGCTATGGATTTAATTTTCTCTAATGTTCAGAAAACACATCACTTTCCTCATACTGTCCTTTGCTGCAGTTCCTCTTTTCTGCCTCTGTCTGAAACACGATTTTAGTTCCTTTCTCTTTAAGGACCTCCCTCCATTAAAGCCCAGTCTGCTCTAAATGGCCAGCTGGGCGACTCTGTTGTGATTGGTCAACCGTTTCCAGCGTGTGTAGGAAGTATCAGCCTGCGCTCTCGCTATTTCTGGATTAATTCAGAGATGTGCCAGGCTTGCTGCTAGGCAAGCATTATGCTAATATGGGACATTGTGATGTCGCAATGGTTCAGAATTATCTGCCAGACTTTTTTTTAACATAACTTTCACATACACAAAAAAGTTATATAACACACTACAGGAAATCAAACACCATATGTCTCCTTTCATGGACAGTGTCCTGGCAACAAAAGCAAACGCCTCCACAACCGTCACCACATTTAACCCAGGATGTTGGTGCTTATTTTCAAACTGCAGCTCACCTTTCTTTTTGAGCACTTGGATCTCCAAGATTGCAGCTTTTGGATCTTTGGGGTTCTCAGCAGTGTAGTGATAGGTACAGTCATCGTCCTCATCACGGAAACTGCACGAATCAAGCACTTTGTCCGCTGAAAACACACGTACATCATGCTACAGCGTGATACCATATTCTTCATTATGAGAAGTATCTTGATAGTCAATGTAGCTCCTTTGTGGGCTAACCTTCTTTGAGTTCTTCCACCATGTTAAATGTGTAGGGGCAATTCTCACAGTCCTCTTTCTTTCCCGTCTTCCAGGCTTTACACTGGACACAGTGTCTTGTAGCCTCACACACACCCAGCTGGGACTAGATGGGACACACACATAGAGTATATACACACTTTGAAACACTAAACAGACATGCTAACCAAAGCTAAAAAGCATAAAGCATATAAAAACAGCACCAGGTATAATATGAAGCTGAAACAAAAACAACAAAACAAGAGAACAGGCCTCATGCAAGAATCATTTATACAAACAGACTTGTTGTGCATACAAGTGATATAGGAAAGTTTGTTGTGTAAACTAATTTTCTCATACATTGAGTTTTCTTACAGGAAGGAACAGTATTTACGAGTGGTCCAGTATCATAGGAATCATGAGACATTAGTCTGCTGTTAGTCTTGTGGTGAGAAACTATTTTAACCAATGTTCATATTGATTTGTTCTTTATTTCAGTGACAGCAATCCCATGACAGCGGTTAACAGCGTTAAAAGTGTTGCTTTAGTCTCTTAATTTCACTTTTGATGCTGCTAAAAGTCAAGACTTTATCTTTCTTGTCCTCTGAAATCAGGACCTGAATCTGCAAACTTGTAAAGTTCATTAAAATGACTTGACAGTTCAGGCATATGCCAGGAATTGTAGCCTTGGTATTATTGGGGGATTTAACAATTCTATCTTACTATCTCTGTGCACTCAAATATGCACAAGTGGCTTTCATCATATTTATGCAGCTCATTCACACACTCTTCTGAAGACAGAAGGGTTTGTTCAATCTGACGATGTTCATACAAACTCACTTTGCAAACAAATGTAGGAGAAATTTTGGATAAAAATATGAACTTATTCATTGCATGAGGCCCATTGTGTTGGAGCTGAGAATTTGATCCATACACAGCAGCATAACAAACATACTTATAAATTAGATCCACACACCTGGAAATTTGGCTCACAGGTCGAAGTCATTTCCATGGCAGTTTTCCCGCATTCACAGAGACCGCACACACATTTACCTCGCCCGTTGCAGACACCCTGGCACAAAATCAATCAACCAGTGTGAGATACATTGAAGTGTAAGGTGACATGATAACCTCATATCAAACAAAAAGAGCGTGGGTGGCTCCACTCACCCCCTTGCTGTCCCGACAGGTCAGGTCGCTCTTGGGACACTCGCAGGCATTTCCCTCCCAGCCTTCTGTACATGCACAGCGACCCATGATGCAAGAGCCACGGTCTGATGGGAGGAAATAATGGGATTTAATAGCATTACCCCTGTGGTAAGTGGTGTATGTGTGTGTGTTTGTGTTGGTGTCCTGTATATTGAATATTTTGAGTATACAAGAAAGTAAAATACAACAAATGCAGACATTGTGTTTTGTCCCTTTCATTTAGTTTTTTGGATTGTTTGTTTGTCAAACAGGATTATGCAAAAAAAGGGTTAGGGGTTAGGGTCAAGAAAGAACCCCATACATTTTGGGTGGATTAAAAAAAGGCAGATCCACGATCACTATCCTTAATATTGATTATTATATATCATATTTGATATTGGACATTTCTTGACATTTGCCAGGGAATAATTGGGTAGTAGTTGGGTCTTGGTGGAAGCTTTCATCTACATAATATAATGTTTCCTGAAAGGTAGGCTAAGAGACAACATGAAAAATGAAGAACATTTGTAACAATCATAGAGATGACACATCATATGCACACATCCATCCACAGTCATGAATTCAACAACCGCAAATTGTCGCACCATTGCAGAGGAAGCCTCCGTATCGTTGACACCGGGTCTTGTCATACTGACAGTATGGTCCTTCAAACTGATCTGGGTTGTAGCACACACAGCCTCCACACTCCATGCATTCTCCGTGGCCTGAACAAGGCTCCGTCATGTTTGGGCCTATGCACTGGCTGGTGTCCAGAGATGAAGTACTCGCTGAGCAGTTACAGAATGCACCCAGCCTGAAGGAGACACGTGGACAAAGCAAAGAGAAAAAAACCAAAGACTTTATTGAGCTCAGAGACCTTAAACAGTCCATTGCTTGGCAAAGACATCATAACCCAGGCAATAATATGGCACTTAAAGAGATGCTGCACACTTAAATGTGTTTTTTTAAAGTACACTAAATTATTAGACTGTTCTTTGATTAAATACATTAATGTTGGCTTTATCACACACACAAATTTACAACAACAATTCCACATTTATGGCTTGAACATGGCTCCTCATGCAACCCAGTGTGTCAAACCATCAATGCTTACATAGAGTCAACTTCTCAACATCATATAATCACAGGTTGGCAGCCCCCTGCCACCATGCAGCAACCACTCTTGAGTGGGAATCTGGAAAGCTGCACTCATTTTCAAATCTCTGCTGAAACCAAGCAACTAAACCATCATGTTGTCTAACATTCAGGGACGGCCTCCTTCCTCTCCTGTCTCACAGAAGTCCCTTTCTCACACACACACACACACAATTTGAACCTATGGCTGAAACAGCCACCTGTGCCGGCTCAGGACCGCCGTGGTCTTTGCCGTCAGGAAACTCTGGTGAAATTTTTGTCGCAAACATGTGTGCACTACTACTGGTGTCGTTGCTCATAGCAAGACAACTTAGATAACTAAGCTTGAGCAAGCTAATTGGTGTGTTATATATGTGTATGTGGGGGTAAAGGGGTATACAGTAGGTAGGCAGGACACAGCCTTGCCTCTCAGCACTGTATTTTCTTTTATTTCCAGGTAGACACACTCAAAACTTAAAGGGATGTTACACATTAATAAGAATTAATAATAATAATCTCACCAGTTACCACTACATCGACACTTCCCACACACCAGGTCTCCATTGCCGTGGCATTTGGCTGCATTCTTGACAGGAGTCTGGAGGACACAGAAAAGAAACACTGGGCTTAATTCCCCACAGAGAATTGAGAATCAATGACTTCAGCTTGACTTCTCGTGCGCCATCTACATGTCTAACCTTCTCACATTCGCAGGTCCGACACAGAATCGAGGCCTCAAGATTGAGAGCGGCGTTGAAGGTGGTGGGCTTGACTCTTATCATTCCCTCCTTCTCATCCTGATCGCTGTGGCAGACAGGGGTCGTGCCAATCATCCTCTGGGCTTTGAGACGCATCTTGAACTTACCCTGGAGAACACACAAGTTCACACACAGAAGTTAAGAGCATGTGTGTGCACACCAAGCATTTAGCTGTACAAGTCTTAGAACAGACAATTTAGGACCATATTGGATTTGACTACAACTATATGGCCTGTAAAAGCTGACAAACTGGTTTTAGTAATTAATTAGTTAAATTGACCCACAATGTGTGCAAACTGATCATTACTTCGATCATCTACACCGGGAGGAACTGGAGCCAATCCTAGCTGACATGGGGCAAGAGGCGGGGTACACCCTGGACATGTTGCCAGTGTATTAAAGGGTACTCAAGCTTCCTCCCTCAGTCCAAAGACTGGGTTGTAGATAATTGTGGACTCTAAATTGACTGAAGCTGTAAATGCATAGAACTTGGAGGTTTTATAAACACATACATTTGTAAGTTTGATTGATTTGTTAGTCGTGACTGTCTTACTGTTGTTCCAGGCTTGTAATCCAAGTCCCCGTGCTCTAGATGGTTTCCACTGGTCGAAAGGAACTGAGCCTCAAATGCTTTGGGTCTGTCCTCAGCACGGATGCTCATCTTGGAACCGATATTCTGTAAGGACACACGAGGACATCAGCAAATACACATATGATCACAGTCATTTGATTCAGTTGGTAGCTGCTGAAAACAAAATGAGCCTCATTCTTCCCCCTGATGATTTACAGAGGAGATGATGTTTTACCTCGAAGGCGATCTTCATGAGCTCCAGGATGTTAGAGGAATCCTCTTGCAGCAGACCAACCTCAGCAATGGGGAAATATTCCTGAAGTTTCTACATAATACAGAAAATAAATTCTTTAGCTAAACTCTGACATCACAGTCCAAGAGAATTACCCCTGTGAAAACTGAACAACTACAGCCCACTGACCTTGTAGTATGTGTAGGAGTGGTTTGTAACAGCAAATATGGGGATGATGTTATGTTTGCCAAGTACGCGGACCAGCGTGGGTATTGATGGGTAATCCTGATTGATATCCTCTGTGTATTTGCCGTTTTTGTCCAGGTGGCAGAGTTCGTCGTTGCGCGGCAGGATGCCAGACAGCACGTTAGCGCCATCTGCCTCGTAGTGGAAGGCTGACTCAGTGGAGAAAACCAGGAGATGCGTGCTGTGGTTTCGCCAACCGATCTCATCCTAGAAGAGGAATACAAATAAAATAAGGGACAGACAAAAGAGTCAAGAATCATCATTTCCAAATTAAATGTCCTTCCCTTCACTCTTCAAGATTGTTAAAAGTGCATTTATGAAGATGGATAACATAACAACTCCCCAAATATGAGGCCAAATCATCTTGATCAACCCCTGGTGGCTGGCTACATTAAAGGTCATAAATCCCGCCTCCTCCATATTAGCAGATGGGACATGGACCAAACTAAAAAGGCCAAAATACGCATCAATTAAATTTTTCTCATATATGGTTTTGTCATTTTTGGTAGTTGATGATGATCAAGTGCTAATTTTTGTGGTAAGTTCAATTTAATTTTATTTGATACCATAATAATAGGGTAAAAAGCACTGATTGACAGCTTAGATTGGTCGAGCATGTTTATCAACGGGACCACGATGCTGTGTCTCTCCACCACGATCACTTCTGCCCAGACTCTGTCTCCAAATGACGACAAAAAATACAAAATGTTGGCACACATATCCGAGATATTTTACCTTCATTTTTGTATAACAGGGGCCAGTGCAGACAGGTCCTCCATCTTTATGTACAAATTTAGAGAGGTCCAGATAGACAATGTTTCCATCCAACAAGGATGCGGAACATCATAATATCTAACTACCATTATGATTCTAAACACTCGAGGGGATCCAAAATAAGTTAAAATATATATGCTCTTTTATTATGTATATATTCATATATATAACAGATAGCTTTTTTAAATGTGCACCTTGAAAAAAGTGCTTGAACTGAGGAAAATTTTAATTAAAAAAATACTATTTTTGCTAACCAATTTAAACTTAATGATTTCAACACACCTGCTTTTCTGTAAAGGCAGCACAATTTGCCCTGGTTTAAATAGAAATACTATTTGCTTGTCAATGATTTATCGGTTATATGTCCGGGTCATGATTGGACAACGTCTGGATCTGGATCTTGGTCCACCTAGTAACCCTTGGTCTATGGTGTACCTCAACTCAATTTCTACTATGTTAACCAGCTCATCCCAAACTTTGTCTGTTCAGTGCTGAGTAAGTGGAGAGCCAAAACAATGTGCGGTTCTTACTGACCCCACAAACTGCGGCCTGCAATATGGCGTCAAACCCTCCTTCAGGAGCATCCAGGTTGCCAGATATTCTCTCCTTCTGGAGCTCACTGGTGAATTCTTGTACATCGCTGGTTAGCTTGATGACATTTTGGAAGGAGAATGGAGGGTCACTGTTGGGCCATGGCGTTTTAAGTCTGAGAAGTGAAGAAGGAGGATGGACAAAAAAAGAGAGACAGTGGGAAATGGAATGGACATTTAAATTACACCCTATCATGTACATACTTCACTTTCCTAAAAAGGTTATTTCACATTATCTCTCTTACTTGACGGGTCTCATGTCCGTCTGGGGCTCAATCACTTTGTCCACAAACTTCCCAAAGCCGATGTTGTAGTCACTTGACAGCTCTTTCACCAACCGAGCTATAGGAAATACATGCCATCAGTATCGCATTGACAACAGTCATCGCAACACGTCAAAGATTTGATGCCATTTCAGGGCTGCTCACATAGCTCCTCGCCCATATTCTTCAAGTTGGCCAAATCGTCAGCCATGGAGTTGGAGAAATCCATAAGAATATAAAGATCCAGAGGACCATTGGTCGGAGCAAACACGTCCATGTCAACCACCTTCTCCTCTCCTGGCAGGAAGCTCATGCTCATCAGTTGTGGAGACACCTGAGACTGCTGGAGATTCATGTTGATATCTTGTTTCTGAGCAGCAGAATAGGAAAGTTAAGATTTTTGATTTGCAACATAACAGACATTTAAGACTAAAGAGTGATGGGATGATTTGAAAAGAAACAAGAGTGGAGATGTCTTACCTTCTTCATAATTGTTTCGCTTTCAGCTGATAATATAGATCTGCAGCCGTGGGCACGTATGTTTTCTTGCAGGTCACAGCGAGGGCCATTAAAGTCCTGTGCAAATAGGAAGTGTGATTAGTGAGTTGAGCTTTCAGTTCAATTTTTGATTCATTAAAAACCATTAATTGAGGGTGAGGATCCATTCTTCATCAGTGGATGGCATTTGCTCAGTCCTAAGTCACCCAATCATAAGTGGTCAGCTCTACGTTCAGGTCTGAGTGCAACCAAATGTTTCCTCAATGCGTCTTGAGATCCAGTCACACATTCGAAGGTGGTCTGGGATCCATGTGTCCACATTGTGTGAACATTAGTATGTTCTGGGCCACAGATGAAGGACCAACTACTCAGCTGATTATTTTTTTATGCTTCTCAGTGTCCATATGTTGATTTGTTTGTATCCACCGCCTCAGTATCAACACTAACCACCACATGATTGATACTTTTCTTAAATTAGTAAAATCTGTCTTCTTTCTTACATTCATACCTTCACACACAAACATTGTCATCTGACACATCTGCAAACTCAAACTGTCTAAAGACAACACACTTTGGTCTTCATGAACAGAAGTAACACTTTTTGCATATGGAGCGGGGTGGTGAGATCCAATCATAGATGGCCACAGGAGACACATTCAGGATGGATGTTAATACCATGTCTGGATCCATTGACACAACTGAGCCATCTCCATGAAGACTGACATTTAATTTCAATTTCTGATAAAGATGAAGCTCAAAAAAGTAGTAAACTGACCTTAGATTGAGATTATATGATTTTTGGTTAAATCAACTGCTTTTTTAATAAAAAAAATGTAAATAAGTAAACAAAACAAATTCATAGAGCATAGTAGGAATTGTTGGATTTCCAGTGATTAATGCGCTCACAGCGAAGGAACAGATTAGCATATTGCACACGGATAAAGTGCATAGCTGCCATCCAAGACTCAAGATACATGCACTTTACTCGGCTATCAAGACTTCTCGCAAGAACGTATTCATTTTAAAACCCCTGAGTTTTAGTATCAGAGGAACATTCGCGTCCCTCTATACTCATCCCCTACAGGCTGACCAAAGATGACACCTATCACCTAAAAATTATGCTAGCAGCGAGCTATAGGACTGTAACAAAACACTGGCTTCAGAAAAAATGCCCTACTGCCAGTCTAATATTTTCTAGAACAGATCACCTATCCCTGTAGTGCATCTCCGAAAAGAACTGGGAGACAAACTGTAAATTTACTATGTGTGATATTTAAATCATCCCAGGACCTCTTTTCTTTGTTTTTTTTTTGCTTTGTGTTTTCTTTTTACAGCCCTTGTTCAAAAATAAAAAGTTAGAAAAATACATCTGCAATACATCTCTTAGGATAAGTTATTTTATCTTATATTTTCATCCTGTGAAGCAGTTATACAGATCAAATATATTTCATAGGTTTTTATTTTTATCTTGTAGAATTTGTTTAAATTGTGCTTATAGTAGACTTAAAATAGCTACTTTTCTTCCTTGGCAATGGTCTGTTATCTGCTCTCACCTCATCAGTGCAGTAGGAGCAGCCCTTCCAAGTCTGCAGGCACTCAGAGCAGGACTTGGCAGCGAGGCAGTATTTCACTGAGGGGAGAGAGTCGGGAAAAGTCAGAGACACAGAGAGAGCCAACAAGTGAGAATCAAACCCAGGAAACATTGCAAGAATACCTATGGTAACACCAAAACACATTTAACAGATAAAACCAGAGCTGAGGAATAATTTCATCTATCACTGACTTTATATAATATTGCAATTGACTTTGATATTTTAGATTTTATAGAACTTATATGTGGCCTCCAGCATTATTTGTTATCTATATGATACTATATGATGTGATATATATGATACTATATGTTACTTTGAGATATATTATTTCACTCTTTCTTTTCATTTATTTTTTCTCATGATCTTCTTTGTTGTGTTTCTTAGACAATCGTGATAGATTATACAATTAGTTTTCCTTAAATTCAGTGTTAATTTGTTGGAATTAAACCAGCTCCTAAGTATCAAGTAAGCAGTATCCAAGAGCTGTTCCAAATTCTTTCCACTACAAATTGAATATATGTCTCTGCTAATAATGTCCTCTTTAGTGTTTTTGGATACCTCCCATGTAATCAGTCTATAAATTGTACAGCAATGGTCCCCACACTGAGCCCTGGGGAACCCCGCAAGTTACCATTTACAAGTTCCAAACACCGATATACCAGCAAATAAAAAGCTAGGTAAATTAAGAAATAAGAAATATACAGTATTAAAAAGGTGCTGATCTTTCAGAGATAAATGTACCTTTAACTTCAACTAACTTGACAGATGTTTACCTAAAATGTCAAACTAACCCCACATTGAATTTTTTTTTTTTTAAATATGGAAGAAACATGAGTCAACTATTTTATTTACCCTGATGGCTTCACTGCCAGTGTGTGACTGAGATGTCTGAGTAATGAATAAATGTATGCGTGAATGTGACTAGTGGTTGTTTAGTCCATTCATGTCCTTACCATCAGCATCACAGACGGTCAGCAGGACGGCTAGAAGCCCAATCCCCACTGAGAGATGTAACGCCCATCTCCCCATCTCCTTCCTTCAACAGAAAAATACATGAATACTTTCACATGTACAATTTACACAAAATCCACTGTTACAGGGAGAGAGAGAGAGAGAGAGGGAGAAAACGTTTTGTCTTCTGGCAATATCGCTGAGGTGTAACTTGATCCACCTGTACTTTGTTTTGGTCGGGGGCTGGAAGAAAGTGAACAGGCCCAGACACTCCCTTCACCCTCGCTTCAGTTGGTGAAATGAGCTGCAAACTGAGACTGGTTTAAACAAAGAGACACAGGCTGCCCTTCTCTTCAAAGTTTAAAAGAACATTTGTCCTCTACAAAAAATAGCCATTCCGCTTCTCAAAAGAACATTGTCCTTTTTAGTTTAACCATAAAAACCATAAACATTATTATAAATAACTGTAAAAAACAGAAACAGCCAAAGCTGCTTTGTTTATTCTGTAAAGTAAATGCTTTTATATAAGTGCATATTGGCAAATATCATCATTGTCATTAACATGTCTGTGAAAGCCTCATATTGGCTGATTTTTATCAATCAGGGCCTCAGGGGACTGAAATCTGATTGGCCCCTGAAGTGCTCCTGTCCTGTCAGTAGTGGGGGTTATTTTCTTAAAAAAGAAAGAAACAAAAAAAATCAGATGCATATTAACACCTGTAACAAAATATATGACACTTTGTTAAGAATTCTTATATTCTAAGATTACCCTACGTGCTTAACAATTTTTAAAATATATTGAATGATGTGTGGCTTTGCTCAAAGCTATAGAGCGAGCACTAAACAAGGGTTAACCTAAGTTTGAACCTTACTGGGAATTAATGCACAGGAATTGTGCATGGATGTTGGCCCCTCTGTGTAAACTGTGGCCCCTTTATGGCCCCTGATTTAGAAAAAAATATTATAGATCTGCCAATGTGCTATTTACCAAAAAATCATTTGTGAAAAAAATAAAAACAGCATAAAAACGAATTAGTTAATTTGGATGCAGAGATAATTGGATGACATATTCAGACTATAATAGAAACATGCCTCAGCTCTTCATACCTAAATACATGCAGCTAAGTAGTGTCTTGATGCAGTTTAAAATTACCATCCACTATTCTCACATAGACTATTTTAAATAGACTTGTGCAATAAAGGATCAGTTGAGACATGATAGAAAGTAAAAGATGAATCACAGGAAGAGACCAATACAGGGTGTGACCTGGAAATACTCCTGTATGGCTGCGTGTTGTTTAGACTCTTCACAATAAAAACCTATAATTGTATGCAGGAATCTTGGATGGAGAACAATCTGATTGAGAGGAAGCTACAAAAAAAAAAAGCTGAAGACGGGAGCGATGGGGAGTGAACAAAGGGCACGATGTGGCATGAAATGTCTTGGTAATTATCTCAGTGGGCAGCTAACTGTGCCACAGTGCATAAAAAAAAGAAGATGATTTGTGCCTCCGGAGATTTACAACTCCGAGATGGAATTTCTCCTTTGGGCGAGAGAATGACCTGTCCAAGTAAAAAACACGGCCTGGAAAACACCTGGGAAAGGCACCTTAGCACGTCAGTGTGAGCCTAAGCTGACTACTAGTGTGCGTGTGTGTGTGTCTGTGTGTGTGTGTGTGTGTGTGTGAGTTCATGCCATAAGGTGTCACATAAATCACTGACCAGGAGGGGTCAGGAGGAACAGACCAGCTTCTATTCTCCAAACTTCAAACTGTCAGTCATGGAATATGAGCTGAGATAAGAAAAAAGCACTTTGTATTCTTTTCCTTTTTAGACCGAATCAAAGCTCAAACCGACGCTGCAGTGTTTTTTATGACACCAACTTGGAAACACAAATTACAGCTTCCAAGAGGCAGAAAATAGAACTGAGTCATCTGCACGCTATTTAGTCTAAAGTGCACTGTGGCACAAAAAAAAGAGGAGACTTTTATCTTGAGTTCAAAAGCTTTTGGTCCCTGCAGACAACAACACGTCTTCCAGGTGAACATACCGTTGCTGGGCGTGGGTCTGAACCTGTCATGACATCATCAGTTAGGGGTGAGGGGTGACGGTGGGGGTGTATTGATAGGTTTGGGGGTCAAGTTCAGGGTCCCTGCCCTTGATCGTTAGCAAAATAACAGTAAAACACACCTGGAAAATGTGTATTCTGAAGCTACTGTATCTCTTAATTCCACTTTAAAAACCCAAACAACATAAAATAAACTAAATGCTGGGGGTCTGCTGGATTAACACTGAGTATAAATCAGTAGATGACAGCAAACACTGGGAACTGACTGTTGCTGGAACTGATCCTCTTTTGTTCACCTGTGTTGCATTGCATTACAGGCAGAGCTTTGATGTGGGCAATCGTGCAGAAAAAAAAAAAATCTAAATAGAATAAACTAAATCCAAATCTTTTCTTGCATGCACATCTGAAATGTTAAGTTACATAACTCATATTCACTACTGCCCTTCACCTTGCTCAAAGGTTATATACGAACATTAACGAAGCAGAATAATTGGGTCAGTTTTGTAAAAGTCTTAAAAGAAAACGGTGAAGGTGAAAACAATGGAGCCCTTAGGAAATGTGTGACGGGAAAGAAGATTACTAATCAAACAAACCTCTCACTGCGCTCTCACCCAGGCCAAGTCCAAAAGTCCAACTGTAAATAAAGAAATAAAGAAACTGTGTTCTTCTTGCTTTGTATGGCACACAAAAAGTTTGGAAAAAGTTTGTATCCACCTGTGTTGAAAAAGTAAAGTCCCCGTGTCCAAGTTTAAAAAGGAAAGAAAGAGACAAAAATATTTCCAGTCTTTCTCTTGTCTATCTTTTGCTCCTTCCTGGTCAAAGTGATTTATTCAACCTTAAATTCTGCTGAGTGCAGTGCGTGTGTGAGTCTGTGAGTGTGTGCGCATGAGTTTTTAAGGAGAGCAATATGAATGACAGTGAGCCTCAGTGCGACTGAGTGAATGCAACTGTGTGTGTTGGGACTTGATCCCTCCTTTAGCTTCTGCGCACTCACACACACACACACACACACACACA